AATTTGATCAAAGTACATATAACAATGAAACCCCTTTAAACAAATAATATGTACTTATAAAAAAATTAATATGTATTTTAAATAACATATTTGTTGTACAAAATAGTGTTTCATTGTGAAATTTTTATACATACATATAATGTACTTTGCTATTTTTATATATTTATTTATATTCTCCCAATATTCCTTGATATGCTCTCTTAAAATTCAATGAATGCATAAAGATTGAGAAAGAAAGATGAAGAAACTATATTTTTGCTTGTTCTCTCAATATTTCTTATACATGTGTTACACAAAAATATTTTAAAAGGTAATTTGATGTCATGTTTTCTATGAAGGTGAATGAAAAGTTCTTTTCTCATTTTGTTTGTATTTTATTATGTCCCCTTTATAAGATTAAGAAAGGGATAAATGACTTATTAACAGAACAGAGAGAAAACAAGGACATGCTAAGCGGCTTCTTCATTCTTTTAGGTAGAAATTTAAACAATTTTTTAAATTACTCTAAATCAAGAAAACATGGGGCATGCCAAGGAGATCTGAATTGGTTAAAGCTCATTTAGAAAGAAATATTTCCTCATTTCAATGTAGGAAAAATAGACTATTTACACAATCACTTTCTCTGCTAATATGACAGAAAAACCTATGAGCTAGTTATACATTTAAAGTAGCCTCTTTCAACATAAAAGAATTTTGTAGTTTGACTTCCTTCCTTTGATATGGTACATGACATGTTTCCTTTTCTCATGCGCATCTACCTTTCACAGAACTATTTGTCTTCCTCAAAATATGCAGATAAATAATGATGATGCCAGAATTCTGGACAAAATTTTCAAGAATGGCAAGCAATTCTTTTACTCTGTCTACTGCTGATTACTCCAAAAATGGCCTTTGTTTCACAAGCCATTAGAAAAAAATACCTAATTACACATCTAAATTATAGCTATCTGGTATTAATCGACAATTGTAGTGTCCACTTATTCAACAGGACTTCTAAGTATTTAGTCATGGAATCCTCATCTTTTAAAAATATGTCTACAGAGTCTTAAACATGATTTGTTAGAAAAAATAATGAATGTAAAAAAATGGAAACAATACTACAAACTAGATAGACTTTTTATGTTATGCTCATACATCTGGTACTAACAACAAAATAATAAGAGAAGGTCAAAAAGAAGATGAAAGAAGAAGGAAAAATAGGCAGACGAAGACAATACTTTACTAATAGTGTTAAAATCTTCCACTTAACAGTTTAAAGAATCCAGATAATTATATTTCTGCAGAAAACTCAGATTCCCCTACATATCAAAACATAAGAATACATAAAAATATGCTACTTAAGACATTACAAAAGCATTGATAATTTTTACAAAATATTTACGTAGCAAAGCAGGGCAAAGCAGGGAGAAATAGAAATGGAGAAAGGAGTGTCCCTGGTCACACAGGAAATGGAGCAAGAGGTTTCAACATGAGCAAATTGACTGGCTCTTATCTCTACTTTATTTTCTTCACATTCTAAAGATGTTACAATTCTTGGATTGTATGCCTAAACCAAAAATGATGAAGACAATGATTAAAGATTATGAATGTAAAATTCCTGTTCTTATTTCATATATTAAGCTTTATGGTCATTAAAAATTAATTGCTTAACTAAGTAAATAATGTATTTATACCTGCACATTTCACAAGAAATATTAACTGTAACTATTTCATGTCTATGTAATGTTTATCTTTAATGTTTTATTTTTATCAATTTTATTTTTGTTTAATTACTAATCTGAATGTAATAAATGTATCGAGTGACTTCTTGCAATACAGTAAATGCCTTTGTTTTGTCTTTTTCTTACATGCTGACTGATTCATTAAATGCTCTTTGAGTGCCTAATCCATGCCAGGAGTTTCACAAAGTGCAGGAATACTGAAGTGCAGATGTGATCTTGGCCATTACCAAAACATGAAATCAAGTTTAGTGGAAAAGTTGATGCAAAAATAAATTTAATTATGTAATTAATAACTAGGAAAAAGAAAAACTTCCATTATTATTTCAGGCCAAATCTGCTCTATGAAAAGCTCCCTCTGACAGCTCTAAGGAGAGTAGATTGAAAGATGCATTAATAGATTTTACAAACCAAATTTAGCGAGTTTTTAATAACCTGACACTCTTCTCTTACCAGACTTGGGATGCAGATATAGGGATCAAAGTTGTCCTGATCAGGCGGGTGTGGTGGAGAATACCTGTCATCCGACTGCTGAGGAGAAACCAACTTGAAAAAAGTTGGTGAACCCTATCTCAAATACAAAAAAATAAATAAAATAAAAAATATAAGAACTATGAGTGCAGCCAAAGTAATAGACTGCTTGCCTAGCAAGTGTGAGTGAGTTCCTGGGTTTGAACCCTACAACTGAAAAAAAAAGGTGGTACTGATCTATACTGATGTTTTTGAGCACATTTCCATTGTCTGGATTCCAGTTTTGCTTGCAATATCAAAACTGCAATTGCTTATTTCTCATCTCTTTCCCATAATACATTGCAAGTTTTGTATAGCACAATGCAAAATACACAAAGTCAACTACTTACTGTATAAATAAATGGATTCATGGATATTCTTTGTCTAATAGATAGTGTTTTAGGCTTAAATTCTCTTGAACATACTGCACATTTTGGACAGTAATTTATGCTAGTCCCGATGCTGTTATTAAGGTGACGCTCAGTCACAACACTAGTTTTCATCTGTTTCATATGCTATTCTGGACTCACAGCTCTCTCTCGGCCTCTGCCTTCTTACCTGCTCTGACATGAAGTGCCAGTGTTCTTTGTGCTCAAGGCAGCGTGATTCTGAGCAATTTTTGATAAGTATTATAAAACTGTGCTTAACACCACCATTATATAGTACATATCCATTTCCATAGGACATCATTATAATATGTTAAAATTTGACATTCCTATCCATCCACAAAAGAGCGTTGCACACAGTCCTTGCTATTTCTATTGATCTGTTTGCCTACGATTATATACTAAAAACATTATTCACATTTTATGTACAAAATAGTTTTAAGAGCCACCATTATGCATCTTGATTTATTGATTATTTAAAAGTGAGATCATAATATAAAATGCGCTATAGAACATGCAAAAATGCTATTAATCTGACAGAGAGTATGAATTCAGATAAGAATCATGGTAATGTTGTTTGATTCTGCATTACTTAAGCTGTGCATACTACTGCACTCCTGCAACTTAAAATAGCTGCACTTATTTAAATCTAATTTTGAATCATAAATGTATTCCTACATTGAATTACTTATGCTTCTGCTCACAAACAACATTTCAATACATTATACAGTAAAGTCAGATGGATTATTTGGATGAAATATCATTTCATTAGCAACCTTTATATAAGATTTTAAAGGTAAAAGAGTCTCCTCATATTCAGCTTCTCCCCATTTTACCAAGAATTTTGCAAAGGAAATGAAGTGATATTTCAGGTTATTAATAGTTTTTTAATAAATGATTTCTTATTTGTGTGTATAAAAGTATAAATTTATTTATTTGAACTCTGATCATCATCCTCACTATAGCACCTGTAATTCCTAATTTTAGTAGGTTACACAGTTAATAATTTTTTTAATATAATTTTTCTTTTCTCTTTTTTTTCTTTTATTATTCATATGTGCATACAAGGCTTGGGTCATTTCACCCTCCTGCTCCCAACCCCTCCCTTACCACCCACTCCGCCCCCTCCCTCTTCCCCCCATGCCCTCAATACCCAGCAGAAACTGTTAATAATTTAATGACCTTCTCTTTATATGATATGGCTTTAATGCTACAGTCTCCTTCACAGAGTAACAACACTATTAAACAGATGTTATCCAAAGATTGGGATAAATTTTAATACAGGCTGTTTACCAAAAGCTACCTTTTGTCAGTGGACTTATACTCCATAAAAAAGAACATGTATTTTTAGAAAAAATATCATAAATAAGGAAAACCAAAACAGATTTCTCCCACTACCTGTACCACTTATTCTTAGAAGCATGAATATGAAGAATTTTATTTCTTAATATCACAAGGAAAATTGTCATGTCTTCAGTGGTATCCACCAAACTTGTCTTGTTCACCCAGGTGCAAGGTTGAATACTGTGCTCACAGCATCATGAAGTTTTCTGTAGCTATGTGGCTGGTTTGTCATTGAAGCATGAAAAAAAGAGAATTATATCGCTTGCAGTTAGGACCTTTAAGGACCAGTTACCAATTTATTATTCTCAGCCTTTTCCTTTTAGCATAGATACCAGCAGTGTTCAATATTGTAGCTTTATGTCAGCCATAGTAGCAAAGTGATAGCAACAGGAACATGGAGCATGAGCAAAAAAAGAGCACCATGATATTACAAAATTCAGAATTTTCAGTCATAATAGAATTACAATATGTGTCTGCACTGTTGAAATAAATCTGGAGCCAAAGTATATTCTCACTCTAGCCTCTGTGCATCTGCTCCTTTTTAAAAAAGAATTAAAAGACAAGTTATATTCCTGCATATGCCAGGATGATTAAAGTACACAGCTCTGATAAGTCTGTGTTATGTTAAAAAGGTATGTCATAAAACAAAGAAGTCCAAAATTCATCTTTGAGAGTTTGAAGACAGGATGAATAAAACAGAAAAATAAAAGAGCCAGTACTTTTTAAAAGTATGAATAAACATTCCTGTCTACAAAAATGTCTTAAAACTTGGTTCTAACCAAATTTTGAAAATCTATCAAGGAGAAAATTTAAGATTATTTAGGTATGATGTGAAAAAATTGTAGGGTTTTAAGTTAATGGAAGGAAGGAAGCTATAAAGGAAAAAAGAAAACATGAAACAGAAAATGAAAGAATATTTGTTTGTATATGTATGTGAAAGAGAGAGATACTAAAAACGTACTTCTAGAAGTTGAATTTACTTTTCCCAAGCTATTCATTTATAATTTATAATCACTTGAATTAGTAATCAATGGGGTCTTACCTTTCTACATAATCTAGGAGCCGGGAACAGTGATTTGAAGCAGGAGCATCATGACCACCTACTGCATAAAGAAAACCATCACACGTGGCTACTCCAACACCCCCTCTCCTCTTACACATTGGTGCACACATGTTCCACTTGTTTGTATGAGGATCATAGTATTCCATTGAACTCAAACAGGAACTTCCATCACGACCCCCAACTGAATACAACCTGAAAACAAGATTGGAAAAACATGACATATTGTTAAAGTCTGAATGACAAAATGCCGCAAAATTTCTTTAAAAACAAATTGCGCAGTATGAGTTTCAAATATGTTAGAAATATATTACTTCATAGGGAGATTTTAAGAAAAGATATTCAACAAATGATTACATATATCTGGAGTTCCTTTTATTCTAATATGCAATATATTAGATAAAATAAATATAATCATTCTTCCCTAATTTATATTGTTTCTAGAATCCTTGATTAAAATACTTAGTATAAAAATAGTTTGACTACATTAATTTTAATTAGTACTGAATAATAGGCATTAAACTTGGAATAATATATAAAAAAGGATTGTCGTATTTTCTGAGGAACAATTGATTTGGAAGATACTACATTATGGAAGCGCCTTGTGTTTTATCCACACAGTTTAGGACACTAAATAAATGGGATAATCCTAACACATGTTGTCATAGCAAACAACATCCTTAATGTCTATATTATAACTAAAGACAAAACTTTATAAGAAAACAAAAGAATGTAATGATGTCAGTTTGACTAAATATTGCTGAAACTTGCAAAATAAATCCATTTTACTATCATCATTTTGGTAATGAGAAATATACCAGGAGCCCAGGAAAATAAGTCCTACATTATAGCTCATATATTCAAATGATTTAAATATCCATTGTCTAGTCCTAGTAAAATTTTTCTTCCCTGTTCCATGATAGTCATGAAAATTTCATCACTGGTAGCTACACTGTTGCATGTGTTTATTTACCCATTTGTTCACTTTTTGAATATGGCACACACTCCTCAAAGTTTTGCCATCTAATTAATGCACAATAAAAGGTATTTGGTATTGTCACAGTAGATTTCCCCTTGTACAATGAATATATATTAATAAAAATGGAAAAAATAAATAATAAAGTTTTGTAAGTCTATCTTTGAGCAAAACAGAAAAAAAAATCCCTGCACTCAATTCTAGTGATGTGGGGTATGCATACAAAATAAATACATTTATTATATACTACTGTGGAAGGTGTATAAAAGCCTCAGACACACAGACAGGAATGCAACTGGTGGGAATAGGGATTATAGTGGTGATTTTAAATAAATAACCTGGAAAGGTTTCAATGAGAAGGTGATGTTGAACAAAAAACTTGAAGATGATGTTATTGATTAGAGATGAGTTCAAGAATATCTGAAGGAACAAATTTAGAGGCTGAACAAATGAGGAATGCAGAGATTTTTGTTTTTTCTAAATGTGCTGACTGGGGGTACGTTGTATCTTTAACAAAAGTTCTTGTAAGCTTTCAAATATATCTTCTCGAATTCACCCCCTCCACCATTCTCCTTTATCCCCCTCTCCCAATTCCTGGAATAGTTTCAATAATAATCATTTTTCCATTTAGGTTTGTGTGTACACATATTTTCACCATAGTCACCTTCCATACCCTTTCCCCACATCCTCCCCCTCTCACTGGTACCACCCCCCCAACAGGCAGGACCTGTTCTACCTCATGTTCTCTGATTTTGTAAAAGAAATCAAAATGAATGCAGATTTTAAAGAGCAGCAAAGAAGTCAGAGTGGTTGGAGCAGTGATTAAGGCTGGCCACGGCCTGTTGGATGATAGGTGGAGGTTCAGGGTGAATGGGAGCTTACATTGGTGCTTTTGGATATTTTCCCTAAGTAAAATAGGAAGGCATAGAGTAAAGAAAATATATGATTTGCTTTTGTTTTAATAAAATTAGATATTGTGGAATTTTTCCTTTTATATGGCTTTTATCCTTTACATATTGATAGACTTAATTCTTCATTTTTCAATTTCAAAATAAATGCACAGGAAGAAAGGATTGGATAGGATATAAAATCACTTAACTTTAGATTTACAAATTGATGGTCTAATACCCTTAGTAGTTCTAGAATATGATGCTTCTGCTGATTTCAAATATTGGGTATATTTTTCCAAAGCAGTTATGTTTCTCATGATGCAGGCCATAAACAAATGCTTCTGATTGCCCAAGTGCTCCTTTTATGAAGGTTATGCTTGTTTGCTTGATTGCTTATAAGTTTGTCTGCTGGCTCTCAACCTTATAATATGTCGAAATTAACCAACAGGAGCATCTTAAGAGATAAGTGTTGGACAATTTAGCTTTCAAAAATCACCAAGAAGTGAAAGAATTATTAACATAGAAGTTTTTATCATTCTAAACACTTCATGAAATCTGAACTCATTTTTTTCTGTATAATTTGAGTTGAAGATCTAACTCAAAAAACTGTATGCCATAATTTTGAAATACTGTTGAAGTGAAACTAAAGAAACTTTGCAGAGATTTTGCATAATTACCTTCATGTAAGGTATCCAGCACATTAAAATGCATTGCTTCTTTTCTACTGTTTTAAGGAAATGTTCATTTAAAGCTGTTCTGTTTATTCATAGACTTTACACTGATGAGTTAAACGATTTAGTTATCTGAACCTATCAGTGTTGATAGTTGATAATAAAATTTAGTTTCTTCTACTAATATAACACTTATTTTTTTCTGTAATTATTTTTTAATATGATAAGTGATATACAAACATATACTAGAATGTATATAAAACTAATGGTATTAAAAACCTTATAACAGCACGGCCAACTGGGATTCATACCTGGGTTGTAAAGATGACTTAACATATAAGAATGAATTGATGTGATGCATATACCACATTTACAGACTGAAGAATAAAAATCACATAATGGTATCAATAACAAAGATAATTTCTCATGATACATCATACTTTCACTATAAAGGTTATCTAAAAACTGGGATTAAAAGTAAATTAATTAAGAAAATTAATTATGATGTTATATATTATCACAAATTTATCAAATGAAATATCTTCTTATGAGCCAGTTAGTAAACATTACATGTTTTCATTCCTCCAAATATAGGAAGGAATATGTTATGATTAAGTGAACATATTACTTGTTTAATACAAGTTAAATATAAGCTTATTTGCATATTTTAGCTAATATATTAGTGTATATTTTAGATGGAAGCAAAATGTTTGCAAAGTTCATAGGTTATGCTATCATTGACTTTGATATAATTATACAGATTATGAATTCTTTACTAATAAAATCCAGTTAAACAAGGTTTATATAGTCAGGAAATGTAAGAAATACCTCAATAACAATGAGATAATGTTTGACAGTTCTTTTTGTCAACTAATGCTTGATATATACTAGCTATTATCTTATAAATCACCAGAAAAGTCTAAAGTATATTAGTGGTTTCCTTCATTTGATACATGATGTGCTCTTTTCAGTTATTCATAGAAGGATATGTTCTACAGAATAAAAATGTAGTTATTATAATTTTAATTACCTCTACAAAGTATCAAGTAATACTGCAGAAAAATATTGAAAGGAGAAAATATATTTTTCATCCAGAAAGAGCCTTGAAAAAGGAATTAGCGATTGGAATTTGTGTGAACATGTGATAGCAACCTTATGGACTACTTCATGGATCCATTGTTAAAACCAATGAATGTACTGTAATACTTGAAAAAATTAAGTTATGTACATTATGAATATGTAAAATCAACCTATGTATTTTAAAATTTACTTATTTATATATAAAGTTAAATGACAAAACTGATATGTAAAAGTATAGCAATAACAATATTCTATGGTTGTTATAACTAAAATTATAAACCAATAAAGGAATAGAAACAATGTATGGCTAAAATAAATCCTATAATGTGCACACAGACATTTATGAACAACTATCAAATGCTTTCTTCTCAGTTTTCCCCTCACAATCTATTCACTTACAATTTAAACTGAAACCCTGCCTTCTTTCACTAAAATGACAAATTAGATGTTGAGAATCTGAGGTGCAGAGAAGATTCTGATGCTGGAAGTAAATGCAATGACAACACAGGAAGTGACAGCTGACAGTTTTACTGCAAGAAAGGAAACATGACATTTCAAGTTAGAGTTGAAAGATGAATACAAATCTTTAAGACCAAGAAACATGGGGGAAGCATTGCACACAGGGAAAGAATTATGTGAAACGACAAGGGTCATGAAAGGTCACAACAGGTGATATATAAAAAGTGGCAGGTGTGTCATTCTGATGGGAGAGGTGATAGTGAAGGATGGAGAAGGATGAAAGAATTAGACTGAGTGTGAAAGAGCTTTGTGCTACTTTATGGAGTTGGGATTTCATTCTGGGACAACAAAGACAAAAAATAGCATCTTTAGGAATCATGAGGTTGAGACCTCAGTTTATTATGAATACTGAGCAGCATTTATCCTGTATACTAGAATTGGCAGGCTATCTAGAAATATATAGGTCAGATTTCATAGAAAGTTATTAAGAATAGCAAGAATTTGAGTATTCCCTAGATTTTTTCCATTACTTCTATGTTTAACCATCACAAAGATGAGTTTTATTCATGTTTATAGACCAAGCTCCAATGCCTTAATACCTGGTTATTAGGTGCCCATCTAAGATAGCACTGCATATTTTAAATTCTAGCATGTGCAACACAGCAGCTCTAGGAAATCAGTCCTGCATGTGTTAGGATATTGTTGAAATGTGTATAAAAGTGGCTTTGCAGGATTGAGACTCAGGCTACTTCCCATTTTTAACCACATCATTTCTACACTAAGTACCTTTGTCAAGAACCTGGAAGAGGCTGAGCTTTTAACCTTCCTTCAGGCCTAACAAATTAATTTGCTGTAGGGCAGAGATGCTGGCAAAAGATCCAGTGTTTTGGGACCCAGAGCATTGTCTTTATACCTTAGGCTTCAGGAGCTCCTTGTTCACATTGCTTCCTCATGTCCCCCAAGTGCCATCAGGGTGGTTCAGAGAGACAGAAGTGAGTGATACACAGTGAGTTTGTTTCACATCTGAGGAACCTGGAGTTAAGAAAATGCTAATCCTTCAAAGCATCCTGCCAGCAAACCTGGTCAACCTGCCATTTGACCTGAAGGGAAGCAGTATCT